CTTTCCTTCCTTTTTTTTTTTTTTTTAGCTGAGGATCGAACTCAGGGCCTTGCACTTGCTAGGCGAGTGCTCTACCACTGAGCTAAATCCCCAACCCTAGCCATTCAGCTTTTTATTAGACCAATCAGGCGCCTTAGGCAGGCAAGGTGAAACAGATGCACGTCTTCACAGATGTTCTACTCCACAACAGAATCCACCTTTAAAACCCAGTCTCAGGCCTTATGTATTCTGTTATGTGATTTACAGACACTGGTCCTTCCTCGTTTACTTGACATCTACAGCGTCCCATAATCTTATCTACACGGAACTTGATTTTAATAAGGTTATGGATGACAGGGTGTGGGTCCTGGGGTTTTTGCTTGTTTGTTTTCAGGCAGATTCTCTTATAGCCCATGGCTCAAACTCACTCTGTAGCTGAGGATGACCTTGAACTCCTGGTATTCCTGCTTCTACCTCCCAAGTGCTGGGATAGAGCCAGGTTTTTTTTTGTTGTTGTTGTTTTTGTTTTTTCGAGACAGGGTTTCTCTGTGTAGCTTTGCACCTTTCCTGGATCTCGCTTTGTAGACCAGGCTGGGCTCGAACTCACAGAGATCTGCCTGCCTCTGCCTCCCGAGTGCTGGGATTAAAGGCGTGTGCCACCTATATTGTTTTTTTGTTTTTGAGAGAGAGAGAGAGAGAGAGAGAGAGAGAGAGAGAGAGAGAGAGAGAGAGAGCGCAAGCCTAGAACTCATTATGTAGCTCAGGTTAACCTTGACCTTAGGATCCTTCTGCTTCAGCCTCCCAAGTCTTGGGATTACAAGTGTGCAGAATCACACCAAGCACATATATTTTTTATTCATTAAACTGAAGTTTATAGAAGCCAAGCATTTTAAGATGGGCAGTAATGGTGTACACCTCCAAGAGGATCTCTGTGAGTTCAAGACCAGCCTGGTCTACAGAACAAGTTCCAAGACAGCTAGAGCTGTTACATAGAGAAACCCTGTCTCAGAAAACAAAAACAAAACAACAACAGCAGAAATCAAGCACTTTATTCAACATCATACAGCTAATAAATGACAAAGCAAGAACTCTAATCTGCTTCTCTTGATTCTGAGTCTGAGGCCTGAGGCCAGGGGTGAGTGCACATGCCTATGATCCAAAGGCTGAGGCAGGAGGATCTAGAGTTCAAGACCAACCTGTGCTGAACAGTGAGACTACACCTCAAAAATCAGCACAGCACCACACAGCACTGCACTGCACCATACAACACTACCCTGAACCACACAACACTGTACTACACTGCACCAAGCACAGTACCACACAGCACCGCACTGCACTGCACTGCACCACACAACACTGCACTGCACCACAAACACTTCACTGCACCACACTGCACCACACAGCACTGCACTGCACAGCACCACACTGCACCATACAGCACCACACTGCATCATACAGCACCACACTGCACCATACAGCACCGCATTGCATCATACAGTACCACACTGCACCATACAGCACAACACTGCACCATACAGCACCACACTGCACCATACAGCACAACACTGCACCATACAGCACCACACTGCACCATACAGCACAACACTGCACCATACAGCACCATACAGCACCACACCAAGAGCACCACATTGCACCACAACACTGCACCACACAGTACAAGCACTACACTGAACCATACAACACTGCACTGTACCAACCAAGCACTACACCGAACCATACAACACTGCACTGCACTGCACCAACCAAGCACAGTACCACACTGCACTGCACAGCACCACACAACACTGCACCACACCACACTGCACTGCACCGCACTGCAGCACACAGCACTGCACAGCCTATGGTGTCTTCATCGTCCGGGTTTGTCAGGTGTCCATTTTCCCTCTTAGTAGAAGAGTGCATCACTGCAGGCAGGATCTTGCTATGCTTAGGGCAGCTTCCCGGGGGTGGCTGAAAACAGGCGGTACCTTCAGACTGTTCTCAGATCGGCTTTCCCTCAGCAAAGAGCACGTAAGTCGTTGCTCAGAACGATGCCTCGCCTACTGCATGTGTATTATCATGATGTCCCCACCTTTCTGACGGATCCTCGAAATAAGAAAGTATTTTTAATTTACTTGGTTTATGTACACCCATAGTGAGCATAAGCCTCTACAGAACAAACCTTCCTTAGTACTTGAACATTTTCTGACATCGTCTTCTTTTTTTTTTTTTTTTTTAAAGATTTTTTATTTATTATGTATACATTGTTCTGTCTGTACGTATCCCCACAGGCCAGAAGAGGGCACCAGATCTCATTACAGATGGTTGTGAGCCACCATGTGGTTGCTGGGAATCAAACTCTGGACCTTTGGAAGAGCAAGCAGTGCTCTTAACCTCTGAGCCATCTCTCCAGCCCCCGACATCGTCTTTTTATGTGGTGTGTATTTAGTTAGTTAGTTACAGGGTCAGACTGTTCTCCAAGTTGTCATCCTCCTGCCTCACATTCCAAAGTATTACAATTACATTGTATTTTCTACTTTACTCTGTTTCTCTTTTTTGTTTGTTTTGTTTTTTGGTAGTTGCAGAAAACCTGCTCAGAGCTTTTTGAATGCTAGGCAAGCTGTCTGTCAGTGAGCTGTACCCTAGGACTCATACAATTGATACCACAACAAAATAATGCATTGATGCATTCCTGGGCCCTGGAGATGGCTCAGCAGGTCAGGGTACCTGCTATACAAGTCTGAGGACCTGCGTTTGATCCCTGGATCCCATGGTAGAAGGAGAGAACTGACTCCCAGGAGTTCTCCCGTGACCTACATACTGTGACCTACACACATGTGCTGTGGCAATATGCATCTACATTCACATGCACATAATAAATGCATAATTTTTAAGGAGTAAAATAACTAATAAAATAAATTTTTTTATTTTAGTCCAAGCTAAAATTTGATGTCATAACTATTGAGTACAATTGATATGTTAAGCATATTGTGAGGTACAATGGATAGCATGTAATGTACAGTAACAATTTATTTTATTTTATTGTTTTGAGACAGGGTCTCTCTGTGTAGCCCTGGCTGTTCTGGAACTTGCTATCTAAACTAGGCTGGCTTTGAACTCACAGAGATCCACCTGCTTCTGCTGCCCAAGTTCTGTACAATAATAATCTTCATGATACTCACAGTATAGTAGGGAAAAAACAGAGACAGCAGCAGGGGCTCAGCCTGAGGAGAGCCAGATGTGTTTAGAAAACAGGAAGTGTGGAGCTCAGCTTGACCGAAGATTTGCATGGTGGACATGGGAGAGAAGGCTGGTGCTCTGTGGTGGGGATCTGGAGATGGCGTGGTGGGGATCTGGAGAAGGCGTGGTGGGGGATCTGGAGGTGGCGTGGTGGGGATCTGGAGATGGCGTGGTGGGGGATCTGGAGATGACGTGGTGGGGATCTGGACATGGTGTGGTGGGGAT